CTATCAGCCCAAAAGGTATAACCTTCGACATCAAACCGCGCAAGAAATCCAAAATGTAAGGGTGTATTAGGAACTTTCAAGGTAGAAATTTCAAAATAATATAATTCTTGATTATCAGAAAGAGTAGATAATTGTGATGCGATTACACTATTTCCCGTGTTCCACGAATTTCTAGTGTATTCTATTGTCACTATTTTCTCTTTGTAGTTATCAGAATGTTGTACAATAACCTGCCCGTAAAGATCAATCGTATTATTTTTTTCACCAATAATCTTTACGGAGTTTATAAATATTTTACTTGACATTTTGAAAGTTTTTATTTGAGAATATACTGTACATTAATATTGGTAATGTTCGATTTCAAATTAAACATCTGGTAAAAACTTTGATATTTATAAAAATTTATTTCTGTATCGAATAATAACGATTAAATAGCGTACTCCGGATTTTGGGGTGTTTCATGAATTCGTCGTAGTGTTGTGTTTGATTAGGAAAAGTTTCCTAAATGTTAACGCTGAATACAGTAGTTAATTATTTTATCCATGACTTTTTATGCACGATCCTGAACTGAAACAAGCGAATAAATGATGATGATGATGAATGCGATGCGCTGAAGTATTGTGTCCGAATTAGAAAAAAATAATCATTGGCATGAGTTAACACAGCGCGAACGTTACGCGATATCTAGTGTAAGTCTCGATTTAATATTGATTTTTTTGGCAGCAATGGGAAAAATTAGTCTATTCTATATACAGTATACAGTACATCTCACTGATTTTTTAGTCTAACCGTGTAAGGGGTAAAATGAAATGCGACGTTCGTCGTGTGACCGATCGTCGCGAGAATAACGAACGGCTCTACATGGCGATGCAACAATTAGATAATTGTCCGAAGCAAAGCGTAGGACTTAAAGGGAGACGATGAGCAGAAAAGTGGTTATTTCCGCATTTTCTAATGTCCGACGATTTTATATAAAAAAAAATAAAAAATTTTAAATTATTTAAAATGAAAGAGTATGGAACTCAAACCTATAAAAATCTTATACTTACCTAATTTGCCTTGTCCAATAAATTCCCCCCAAATCCACAAACTTGCCAAATACTCACCCTTGTAAACTTATAAGAGAAGAACGAAAACTATTCGAAGATGGGCGCAAACAACAAGTTCCTAAACA